GTGTGTGTGTGTGTGTGTCTGTGTGTGTAGCAGCACAATAACAAGCTAATTTCTGTTCTTGAAAACACAAATGGACAAAAGCGTCTTTTTCTGCTTCAGTGAGGAAGTTCATTCCTCCTTAAATTCAGATGCACGTTTTGTTATGATGCACTGACGTGTGCGTGAGAGGACGAGATCCTTACATCACTGTTGAACCAGCAGCACGGAGCCCGAGACTTTGTGGACAACCACGACAGAACGTTGTCTGTTTTTACAGCCGGAGGACTTTTCCTCCGTTTATCAGATCTGTGAGTTTCAAGCCGAAATTAGTCGTGTCTCAAATTCACATCAGGTTGGTTTGATCCGGAGGGAAACTCGAGTAGAGCCCACAGAAACCCCAGTGTCCTCAGATAACATCACCTGCCTGAACACATCCATCACCCGTCTGAGTCTCTCCCTCCTGTCGTCTCTCCCCCTGACAGGACTCCCATCATCGCAGGCGGGCTCTTCGTGATTGACAGGTCCTGGTTCAATCACCTCGGCAAGTACGACACCGCCATGGACATCTGGGGCGGGGAGAACTTCGGTGAGTCGTCCCCGACCGGCGATCAGTGAGAGATCGTCCAAACACGATCAGAACAAGATGATTCGATCTTTTTAAAAAATTCTGCAGGAGAATAAACTGAAAAACAGGACGGAGAGTTTCATTTTCTGAAACATCTGGTTCCTGCTGTGGGGGGGGGGGGCTGATTGCTGCATCTCTGCTTCTTTTAGATCAATGAAAGTCTCACCCTGCTCCTCTCTCTCTCTCTCTCTCTCTCTCTGAGGCACTCACACACTCACACACTCTCACACTCATTTGCTCTGTGTCAAGTTGCTGTCAGTCTCTCCGGCTCTCGTCTCAGTCTCTCGCTGACTTCTCTCGTCCTCCTTTGTGCTCTCTGGTGTTTCATCTTCCATCTCTCCTCTTCCTCATCAAACCCGGCTCGGGCTCTCGTTTTCACTTCCTCTCTCTCTCTCTCTCTTTCTCTCTCTCTCTCAGTCGCTGTAAAACTTCTCCACTTTCGTTCTTGGGAGAAACTCTTGTTACTTTACTTCTCGGAGCTCAGACGGCAGCCAACTTTATGAATCAGAACTAACACACACACACACATTGTGGAGCTGGTTGTGTCGTATGTGTTGCTGAGCTCATGTCAGTGTAAACAGGCCTGACAAACACACACACACACACACACACAGTGTATGTGAAGCAACCACAGACACACAAACACACACAATCAACCCAGAGTCCATCACATATCCAGAGAGACGTTTTCTTCTTAAAAAGGTGACACAGAACCAAACATTCAAAGTGTGTTGTGTTGTGTGTGTGTGTTTGTGTTGTGTGTGTTTGTGTGCAGAGATCTCGTTCCGGGTGTGGCAGTGTGGTGGCAGTCTGGAGATCCTGCCCTGCAGCAGAGTCGGTCACGTCTTCAGGAAGAAACATCCGTACGTCTTTCCGGAGGGAAACGCCAACACCTACATCAAGTACGTCATCTCTCCGTCCTCACAGCTGTTGATGACAATTTATTTTCCTGAAGAGAAAAACCGTTTGTCAGAGAGGAATATTGTTTTAACCTTATATTTTTTTAATGTTATGTGATATCATGGATGTCGACTCCCTAACGCAACAAGTAAGAAAACATTTTTGCGTACAGATGTTGAAATATCCCTTTTCAGAGCCGCCAGATGAAGATGCATCCAGGATTTTATTCAAGCTTCCCAAATGGAAGTTTTAGCAACGTCCCCGAACTTAATGTAGAAAATGTTTCGATCAACTGACTGAAAACTGAAAACACAACATTTATCATGCTTTACGAAAAACTTGAACAGTCTATGTATTTTGTGCTGGATTCAATCGCCTGTTGATTTAATTTATAATTTGAATAAATAAAATAAAAGACAGGATGTCGTTAAAAATCCAGGTTAAAGCTGCAGCTCAGTCGGTTTCACAGTTTTTTTTTTTTGTAACGTGGACATATTTCCAAATTAATCAAGGTTAACCCGAACCTGCTGTCTGACGTACTCGGTACTTCTCTATAATCCGTCAGTTTGTTTTTCAACCTTCCAACTTAACTAAAAACCTCGCCGACTGTTTCCCTGATGCAATGAAGAAGAAACACACGTTTCCTCTGACCTGGGCGTCGCAGCCGCTGCACGCTGCTCGCATCATTGTTAAAAGTGGATTTACAGCTGCCTGGGAGCCTTTGAGCTGCGGGGACAATATTATCCTATTAGCATAAGCTGCATTCTGTTCTCTGCCCCTTTTCATACAGTTCAAACAGAGGGATGTTTACAGGCAGTCCAGTAATCCATTAACAGGACTAATGTGCTCACACTGCATGTGAATTGATCTGGTATAAATAGATTAATCAAGGCTACAACGAGGACGCTGCTTCTCGCCAGATTATGATATCAAGTGCACTGTCGACGTCGCTGTAAACCGCTCGGTGTTGTTCACCGAGGAACAACAGGATTTCAGAGGATTCCAGAGGCATCGTGTGCTCAGGTTGTCCCTCCCTTGTTAGCATTGTTAGCAAACAAGCTACGTAAAGGAGGGCGAGATGGAGCAGAGAGAAACGTTCAGATCTCAACTTACAGTCCAAATAAATATTTAGTTCAATGTCTCCGTGGTTAGAAATCACTTGGATCAACGTTCCATGTGTTTGTTTTGCTAAATGTGATGAATGTCAAATGATTATTCATTTCTATCATCATTTCCTAATTTCTTCTGGTTTATTGACTCAGAGGCTTTTAGCTGAGGTCGTTCAGAGTTTAGAGATGAGGAGGAAATGTACGACAACAACACCAGTGTCGACACTGGAGGAACATTTCTCCTGCAGTCTTCTCGTTCACGAGGGAAACATGAACTGAAAACTTTTTTAAATTGTCGTTTTTTTTAAAAATCAGCATCCCCATCGAACCTAGGCGTGCACTGAAAGGCATTCTGGGAAACACCGTAAATGACGAACGGAGGTAGCAGACGGAAATTAGATTGTAGCGCTTCATCACAAAACAACTCTCGGGACCCACTGATTATTCCTTCCACAGTCGAGCACTTTCATAAACCTCAGCGATTGAGCAAAGCATTAATGCTGCCGGGGGTTGGGAGTTGAGTTCCCTTTGCGGCTCGATGGGCAGAGCGAGGCCGCACGGGTTCATTTAAACTTCTCGTGTCAACCACACAATCCACACCAACACTTTTTTGTTGTTGTGTTTTTTTAAGCCGATCTGCTGCGCTGCTCATTTCGCTCCCTGGCGGCCGTTACCGAGGCAACATCTGCGGAAGACGACCTCCGTTTGTTCCTCGATGGCCTGATGTTTGGGGCCGGCGCTGATCTCCCAAAACAAAGCTGCTGTTGTCTGTCGGCCTGTTGCTCCGCTGCTTAATTAGCTGGAGGCTCGGCGTCGGCAGTCTGGGGTTTGAATATGCAAAATAAAAAGAGCTGCTTAATAATACGATTACAAAGATTATGCTGCGGCCTCGTGCGTGCGTGTGTGTGTGCGTGCGTTCGCGCGCGCACAGGGAGTGAGGTTTTAATTGTAAGCCTGTTTGTGACACATTTATGTTTATGTGCCTAAGAGCGTCTCATATCCTCTCTCTCTCTCTCTCGTCCCCTTTCATTAAACCGCCACAGCCAGTGTGTGTAATGCCTCTAATGGATGGTTTCTGTCATTTCGATGGGCGAGTTCACAGCTCAGAGAAACTCAGCTAATGGCTAATTACTACAGAGACGGAGAGTGGGA